AAAACCCCGTTTACCTATTTAATGACATCAGTGAAGACAAAACGATTATGAAAAATGGTTATCAACATGTGGATATTGAACTTCAACGCATTTTCAGAAGTTGTCTAAACATCTGCGTTGAACTCCAGATAACATGATTGTGATGATCATTTATTACTGCGTAGGTATGCATATTATGTAAGAATTCGATTCAAAACCTTATCCCTAATATTTGCAGGTTTTTCTTAGAGTCAACATTCAAGAAAGCCCCAAGAAAATTAACATATCACCTCGAAATGATCTCTAACAACGGATCTGGAGGCTCTTGCGAAAAAGTTGGATATTTATTCCGAGATTTATTCACTTTTAAAGTTCCATTAATGATATAAGATACATATTTGAGCAGTTGTCAATTAGTCCTATTCATACATTGATAATAAATGGAGTTTTATCACCTCTGAAATGGTTGGGATCTCGGTTGGAATGTATGTTATTAAATGCGATTTTCTCTAGATCGGTATACAAGATTGATATGAAGTATACCATTTTTCTAGAAAAAAAGATGAAGGGATCAAACGGTCAGAGCAAAATGTCACCATTTGTCACCCCTGTCAAGAATGCTTTCATTAAACGGAAAAAAATCGTCTCATCCTGTATAAATCATAATCATTGAAAAGCCACGTATGGTAAGGTGCATTAGTATGAGGAGTTTATTTACCTGCCCGAATATCACTGGTACCATAGCATCCGTTTAAAAAAGTTATGCATGAAATCATTTTTTTAAATTAATTTTCAAGGTCAACTCCGTAACGAAGGGCGATAGATATATTATTTTTTAAATATAGTCTTAACATTATTTTGGCGCACTGTATATCAGCCCTATCATTGATGACATGACTTTTCGGGATACCCTGTATACAGGGTGTCCCGAAACTACATAGAAAGATTTCAACCACAGATTCTAGGAACAGAAATAGTAAGAATGGTTTTCAAAAACATGTGTCTAAATATAGCCCCCTGGGGTTTAGTCATCTGAAAGAAGGCCCGAGATGATGGTTTTTGTAAATATTTCCGAAACCCTCGTTGAGATAAAATTGTGTACATGTATCATACCCGATATGTAAATTTTGATCCGGGGCGTTGGAAATAGGTGTGGCTAGGTAAACTTCTTCCCCAATTATTTTTCTATATTTTCAGCAGTTTAACCAGGAAATATGAATTATATCTTCATTTTCATCTGAAAACGATACGGTGATAAAAATATCACTTTTCCTAATAGGGTACCTACTAGGGCTGTGCGATATTGAAAATTCGATATTGATATCGATGTTCGCTATGAGATCGATATTTATCGATATATCGATACATATAGATATATCGATAAATATATCGATAGATATCGATACATATCGATAGATATCGATACAGATGAAACTTAGTATTGGGGAAGCAGCAAGTAAAAGTGAAACTCATGCAAGTTCGTCCAAGCTTTCGGAAAGTTATATTTCCATCATCAGGGCCAGACTACAAAATGTTATAACAATTATAAGCAAAGCTAGTTGACTAAGTGGTGCAGTACTTACAACTCATTGAGGTTGGTTACATTGATGTTACTACCAAGTGATGTATAAATAAAAAAACGTTTGTATAACATATCTGGAACATGACAAATTCAAAAAATTAAAATATTAGGTCAATATCAAAAACGTTGTTGGTTTAAAATCATGATGAAACTTTTCTTTTCACAACGTGTGTCAGAATAAAAATCTTTGGTTATTCTGACACACGTTGTGAAAAGAAAAGTTTCATCATGATTTTAAACCAACAACGTTTTTGATATTGACCTAATATTTTAATTTTTTGAATTTGTCATGTTCCAGATATGTTATACAAACGTTTTTTTATTTATACATCACTTGTTAGTAACATCAATGTAACCAACCTCAATGAGTTGTAAGTACTGCACCACTTAGTCAACTAGCTTTGCTTATAATTGTTATAACATTTTGTAGTCTGGCCCTGATGATGGAAATATAACTTTCCGAAAGCTTGGACGAACTTGCATGAGTTTCACTTTTACTTGCTGCTTCCCCACTACTAAGTTTCATCTCTAACTTGTCAGCAACGACTTCCCTTCTCGATATCGATACATATCGATAGATATCGAAACTTCAATGTTGATGTGCTCAACATATATAGAACATTTATATCAATAATATCAAAATCAAAGTTTGAAGTCTAACGTTTCACTTTAAGCTCGACTTTAAGTTCTATAGGATGTGTGCCTATAGGAACTTTAAGGAAATAGCAGTATTATTCAGTGAACGTTTCCTAGAAGTCATATCAAAATGTGTGCTGCATAATATGTTTTTTTCTTTGATTTTTGTTATTTCTTAGTTAAGGTTGATTGGAAGAAAGCACTCGTCTATTCCTTCAGGGATTAGACTGGTGCTGTGATATGGAAAACTGGATATTGATATCGATGTATGCTCTAGTATCGATATATATCGATATATTGATATATCGATACCTATCGATATATCGATATTTTTGCCCCGCCCTACTAGCTACCATGATATTTTTCAAATTATTCTTTTTATTGTTCTTCCCATATTTTGAGTCAAACATCACTAGTAGATGGTAAAAAATAGTTATTTTTGTATCTAGAGTGCGAAAAGAATTCAAGATGACCAAAGTATTTCGCGCTCGAGTTGCAAACAACAAACGTCAAAAAATATATTTTTAAAGTAAAAATATGCTCAGCTTGATGTAAAGAATGCTGTTGAACTGGCTTAAAAAGCCTCCGCCTATCCTCCCTAGGTACGCACGATGTTCCACGAGCATAATAGGAATTTCCTTTCGTGCGCTCCAAGAGAAAAAACAACGTTATTGTCGAACATTCAGAAATAAATGATTTCGTGAATGTTTGCTCGATTGAGGACTATAAAGTTGAAATACAAATATCTCATAAATATATTACATATCAATGCGCGAAGTAGGTACTTCGCGCACTGTTTTACTAAGTGCATTATTTTGTGCAAGGTATCATGGTAACGTAGGAAACTGAAAAAAAAGTGCCACTTCGCAATTTGTTATCAATGCGCGAACCTTGTCATTTTTTGAAGTTTGTAGAAGGAAGGTATTCAATCAAAAACTATTTTTTGGAAAAATTTGGAACCCTAGCTATTATTATTATACAAGGGAAAAAAGCAGATTTTATCGGCAGACCAAAAACCGTGAGATGAAATCTTATATTTTTTCCGTGTATAATACACTATTTTTTTCTGTGGCAGGTAAAAGGACAAATCAATATTGAGAAGATTCTACATTATATTAAAATCAGAAAATTATCGACGTCAAATTCGAAGTTTTTGACAGGAATTGCACCTGCGTGGCAGGCATCTCTTTGCAGGCATCTTTATCATTCTTTTGAAGTAATCAAATATCTGTCAGTCTAGGGTCCCTTGATGGAAATTGACGTTAAAGTCATCTTAACAGGGTACGGACAGATCCTCGTCTCCTCTCACTCTAAAGTGTTTGTGAAACAGTTATATAGTTCCATCCTTATTCAATTCTGGGGATAAACACCAGATTTTTGACACTCGTTGTTTTTTAGGTTATATTGAGGTCACTGGCGTATCATACGTAATTCCCAAATGAAATTCCTAATTCAACTATACCAAGATATAGATGAACAATCCTCTAGTTTTAGAGTTTACTACTCCAGCATAATCTTCGCGTTTTAGGTAACATATAAATTGTACTGAAAGCTTAATATATTTCAACAAAAGAGATTGTTCTTAGACTGTTTACTAGGGTTGACTGAATTGACTGAATGAATTCTGATTTCAAGCTGAGCAGTAGTTTATATATATGAGCTGAATGAACTGAGCCTTATGATTGAGAAATAGTGGAAACTCCGATGTGGGTATCTTGACTACTGTACTCATGTCATGTATGCTAAATTTATTTTCAGATATCCAACTCGGAGAAGAATTTATCGAGTTACTTATATCACACCATGTATAAAACTTCGTCAAGGACGAAAAGTAAGCTGATAAAAAATTGAACAGTAAAATGTGCAGGAAAATGTAGAATAGAATATATTTCACCCCCATGTTACACACACGATTTTTCCGTCTCTTTTAAAGTCATTTTCGAATAATTTATTGATGAAAGTAACAACGAAGTAGGTATACGCTAAGTATACGCGTATAAATTAAAGGCACGTTATTTTCACTCTTGCATCCTACATATTTTCTATTTGTGGTAGAGTAATAATTATATAAACTGATGTCTTTCGCCATATTAGATCCGTCATCTTGAATTTTCCAAGTTTCACGAAACAATCATCATCTCCAACCCCGGAAAACCCCACGTTCCTTCCAATTTTGAATAGAATCAGATCATAATTACAAAACTCGTTCGCCATATGATCTTCCTCAACAAGTAAATACCCTGTACATACCTACTATTAAAATTTTGAATGATTTTCTGTAGCGCCCATGGATGTGACGTGACAGCAATGTCAGGGATGCCAGTAGACAAAACCAAAGTCTCTAGATCATTAAAAAAGAATGCAGCTATCTAGTTAAGATGACTTTAACGTCAATTTCCATCAAGGGACCCTATGTCAGTCTAATTCTGTGATTTGGATTTAGTTGTTTAGTGATTTACGTAACCGCGAAGTCGAATGGAAGATAAAAGGACACCGGAGACGGTGTTATTGGCTTATTATTTCGGAACTTACATAACAAAAGCCATCAACAGTTCAGATAGTTATATCCGGAAAAGAAGTACTTACCTTTTTACCGTGGGAAAAAAGTAATTTATTGAAAGTGCCTTTTCATAACCTGGCAACAGAGATAAAATGTCAAACTTCTTATCCGTCACAGAAAAAACAATATCTTTTATACAAGATACCTACAACATTGTCCAAATTCATTGTCCAGTATAATTGAAAAATACTTTACAGGGCGACACGAGAACAAATGGATCACACCATTTCCTTTCGTTTTCAGCGAACCGGACCAAGTATTTTCGGTCCTGGGACAACTGAAATCAAGAGCTCGTCCAGTAGGCGTCACCTTTCAAGAGATGACAACTTTGATGGACCAGTGCAAGCAACTCGAAGACATGTCGTATTCCAGTAAACACGAAGAGCTGCTGAAGAATGAATCCCTTGATAGGGACGAGCAGGCGAGAGGAGCGAAGAATCCTTTCACCTTGCTCAGTGGTATTATACCAGGTAAATGAGCGGGTAATTTTGCCCTTATCATGCAATGGGTGTTTTTTCGAAGAATTGTTTTCGGTACTCACTTATTTTTGTCTCAAAAACGCGAATTTGTCAAAAAAATGTGAAAAAACGGTTTTTTGGTATTCACTGAGATATTTCACTATGAAGTTACAAATTTCACCTTCTTTTCCGCGCCTGTCTTCTGGATCGCATTTATCATTGGACAATTTATATACAGGGTGTTGCGAAATTCGACCGACAACGCTTGACAGGAGATGTTTAGTTCTCGAGATACAGGGCGTTGAAGTTCAGAAATTTGAATAGGTTTTTCGCAATTTTTCAAGAGGAATTCAATATAATGCATTCCAATTCGGTATATGATTTCATCTTTCAATGGTTATTTTTTTGACCACAAAGACATTCGGAAAATTTTACCCCGATGTGCGTAACAGAGGGTTGTGATAACTTTTCCTCCCATATTTTCTACGCCACTGATGAAAATTCGATTATTTCCATTTTCTCGAATTGATTGTTCAATTATGTTGAAAAACTGCGTCATCTTCAACTGAGCTAAAATGAAGGGTTATCGAGATATTTGACCCGAAATAGAAGTTTGCATAGTTATTTTTCATCTTCTTCAGTAGTAGAAGATTACAAAAATGTTCGTTTTCTCGTTATGCGTGGAATAACTATTTCTGTTCAGCTACAGAATGAGATCTGAATAGTATCTTATCTACTCAACACCAGAAAAATATTTTTGCAATTTTCTACTTCTGAAAATGATGAAATATTACTATGCAATCTTCTATTTTGGGTCGGATATATGGAAAACTGTTCATTTCAGCCCAGTTGAAGGTGATGCATTTTTTGAACAAAATTGAACAATGAATTCGAGAAATTGGAAATAATTGAAATTTAATCAGTGGCGTAGAAAACATGGGAGGAAAAGTTGCCCTACCCCCCTTCAGGGCACCACTGGATGAAATGTCCGGAATGGCTTCCTGGTCAAACAATGACCCATTCAAAGATGAAACCATATACCGAAGTTAAATGCATTATATTCGATTTTGCGAAACCACTATTTTTATTTCTCATCTTTAACGCCCTGTATCTCGAGAACTGAACACTGGAAGACCGTATGTCCCTATCTCAGTGATTATAAAACCACGAGGGCTATCACCTGTTAAGCATTGTCGGTCGAATTTCGCAACACCCTGTATTATCACATATGTTTTTTTTATATAAGTCAACTAGAAATGTGATGTTCTTCTGATTCATCCATATTCAGTGAAGAGGAGGAAGAATAACATTCAAATAATGGCGTGTGTAATGTCATTCCAAAGGAATCTGTGGACATTTGACATCTCGTATTTGGATTGACTATTTATCAGATGGCCGTCATCTGGTATGCTTGTTCACTAAATATGCAAAACCCGCTATAAGAATCATATTTCTTGTTGAATTTTCTAAATAAAAATATGTCATTGAAGTACATCATGAGTATATAAGTGTCCAATGGCAAAATACAAAGAGGAAGTAGCTGTAAATGCATCCACCACAAGGGAAAAAATAAGGCAAAATTCCGAACTTTTTCTTGGATGATCTCGATAAATAATGGTTTGTTCACATTTTCATTATCAAATTCGTGTTTTTCAGACAAAAATACGTGAGTACCGAGAAGAATTTTCGAAAAAGTTTTGAATTCCACCTTCTTTTTCTGCTGGTCTAAGAACTATTCGCCCTTCTTTTTTCATCATTGAACACTTAATTTATCACGATGTACTTCAATGATATATTTTCAATATTAAAATCGAGTAGAAATATGATTTTCTTGTGGTTTTTCCCATATTCATTATTTGGTGAATAATTACACCAGGTGCAATTCAATTTTCAAGGAAATGTAAAATCGAATATGCAAGAATTCACTTTCACCGTGGATAGGTAAATGAGAAATAGTATATTTCATAACTAGTGTGGAAAGTGACATATTTCGCGCGAGTGGACGTTTAGCACGAGCCGCAGAGCGGCTAGTGCGGAAACGAAACGAGCGCAGGAAATGCACCCTCCAACGAGTTTTGTACACTATTTTTCCTACGACCACAAATATTTATATTATATGTCATGAGTGTTTATAAGACCAGAGTAGGGATCATGTTTTTAATCATATTCGATCACATGAGGTGATATCATTATCATTATTATTTAATTTTACTTCAATATTTGAATGACATCATTAGTTTTACGTTAACTTGACATTACCTTAATATGAACTTAACATTAACTCAACATCAACTTAACATCAACTCAACATCCACTTAACATCAACATTAACTTAAAATCAACCTAACATTGACCTAACATCAACTTAACATTAACTCAATAATTATTCAACATTAACTCAACATTATATCAACATTAACTCAAAATTAACTTGACATTACCTTAAAATCAAATTGACATCAACTCAATATCAAATTGACATTAACTTCACATTAATCACCAAATTGCCAATACATTGACATTAATTCAACTTCCAATTGAAATTAACTTGATTTCATCTTATCATCAACTCATCATGACGTCAACATTAACGACAATAACTCATGTTAAATCGACACCTGTGTCGACACTAACTTTCCATTAACTTGACCATAACTTAACTTACCATAATTCAGCATAATAATCATTCATTGCTACATCATAATCTATAGACCCTGTTACTTTGCGATTTTCGAATATTTCCACCCATGTGAGTTTTGCTTCCGAACTTTCTAACTGTTATATGTTGTCATAGTGAAACGAGTCACTTCCTCAATAACAAATCAATGTGTTTTGTGCTGTTTTCATAGGTGGTCGTAGGAAAACTATATTCATTCTAGTTTTAAACTTTTAAGTTGAAAAAAGAAGGAAGAATATCATTGAAAATGATTTGTATAACGTTATCCAAAAGCAATTTGTCTAAAAATTTATGTTTTTTCAAAATCTGCTGACATTTGACCTTCACTTGACATCTATAACATTTAATGGCAGTCAGCTGGTATGATTCATCAGTAAATATGAAAAACTCACCAAAAAATCACATTTTATGTTATTCAACCTGTGATAACCCCTCTATTGATTGAAATCCAAAATAAAAATATTCAATCATTCATTCATTCATCCCAGTGAACTAGGAACTCACGACGAAGACATGTCAACTCTGTCAATGTAGATTGTTGGAATTACAGCCAGAATATACTGTTTTCTCATATAGAGTTCCGTAACCAATAACATACGCCAGAGACAAACCACAATCACTTCAATTCAATTCCTTTAAAGTCCGCGACCTTCCACGTCATATCGGTAGATACTTCCACGGGAAAACAAGTCAGACGAACTCGGCAAGCCAATCATCATATCCTTTCGTCGATACATATTGGATATCACTCTACCATAACTCTTTCGTCCTTAGAACGGCAAAGTTTTGAAACTCTTCGCCAGAGGAAGTTTTCTCAAGAACTTATAACCTTCTCTCTCTATCCATACTATACGGACGCCCAAATGATAGAAATGAAAAAAAATACAATTATTGCATTATAATCACAACTTTACAACAATAAGAAAGCAGATCAGAATCGTGGATTGATTGATTTGGCATCTCCAACGATAAATTTATACAAACCAAGACATTTTCTGAACCTGATTTCATTATATAAACTTCTTGCTTTATTTATTTTGCCAGGAATAAATTGAAAATTTAAAATTTAGCTTTCAATGAAGTCAATACCGAGGTCAATACAGTCCATAATTATGGGACTAGACAATTGAATTACTTGATAGCAAATACATTCAAGTCAAACATTGGCAAACAATCTGTTTTTCACAATGGAATAATTTTATACAATTCATTACCGCATGAGTTGAAAAATATACATGATGCAAGAAGGTTTAAAATCAATCTTGAAGAATACTTGCTCAGGACAATTTGAATGAAAAATATGTGGCATGATTTGATTACTTAGGAATGAAATATAACTTTAATCTTAAGAAACAATATTAATTCGTTTCCACTGAGTGGAATTCATTAGTTAACCCTTTATTATTATTTTTTAAATGTATTCATGTATCCCTATCATAAACAGAAATGTTTCTTGGGGTAATAAAGACAATCATCAATCAATCAATAACTACTTTCATTATTATTCCAGGTTTTTTTGTAGGATTTTCTCTACTCGTCTCTATGAAATGAAAATATGAATACTATTTCAATATACGTGTAGTTAGGACAAATCAGCAAATCAGATGATTTGCCCCAAAATGTCACTGCGTTTAAAGAATTTTCCTATCAAGGAATCTGCTTGAATTCTTCGGAACGGAGACAATAGCATATCTTCCAGTTCAGTTGATATAGATAGAACAGGGTATTCACTACTGAAATCAGAAAATAAAAATGGTAAACTCAAGATTAATTGATGAAAACATCCTTCAACTCATTTGATTGCCAATTGTCACAGAGAACTGAAAAGTGTCACGACAAATACGAATTTGCCATACAAAAACTCCATTTTTTATGTTGAAAACGGGAGTAGATTCGTTCCCGAAACGTCCAAAGATACGTAATAATTTGATATTTTCTCAATATAAGTACCTTTATTTCTTTACTCCAAACCTTTTTCAATACAAATAGTCACTGACAAACTGGTGAATTTTTCTTTTAGGCTCTCTGATAAGAAAATCCTTCAAACGCAGAGACATTTTGGGGCAAATCATCTGATTTGTCCTAACTACAAGTATATTATTGATAGTTATTTTAACTAGTGTATTAATCGCCTTTTGATATACGAGTTGGTTACAAAATTTTTCCGTCGACTACATTTCTCATTTCTCCTGCAATGAAGAAAACTTGGTACTCGAATTCATCATTCATCTGGAAACTACTAAGAATCACCCAGTATCCTTGTTACTGACATTAGTGACATTTGACATTTGTCGAAATGATTAACATTGAATAAAAATTCCTTGTCTTAGAAAACAGGGATTAAAATCGTTTCAGAAACTTGGAAAGGCTAACCCGTTAACGGAAAATCTTCGATGAAATCCAAATTGCAGATTCCGTGAGTTACAGCATAAACAATGAATGCACGCGGTGTATGTTTGGTTGCCTATAAAACAATCGTGCATTAATAGACAAATTGATCATTAATAGGGGTCATTAATGAACGATTCCATAAACATCGAACTCACTCGTTAATAGGAGGTCGACGGAAAATAGTTATTTAACTAACTAGTTTATTAATGAGGGCGATTAATGATCGAGATATTTTAACGTGCGAGCGAAGCGAGTGCGTTAATGTTCGAGATCATTAATCGCCTTTTAATATACAAGTTGGTTACAAAATTTTTCTGTCGACTATATTTCTCATTTCTCCTGCAATGAAGAAAACTTGGTACGCGAATTCATCATCCATCCGGAAACTGCTAAGAATCACCCAGTAGCCTTGTTACTGACATTAGTGTCATTTGACATTTGTCGAAATGATCAACATAGGAAATAAATTCCTTGTGTTAGAAAACAAGGATTGAAATCGTGTCAGAAACTTGGAAAGGCGAACCCGTTAACGGAAAATCGTCGATGAAATCCATATTTTCGATTTAAATGCAGATTCCGCTAGTTATAGCATAAACAATGAATGCAAGCGGTGTATGTTTGGTTGCCTATAAAACAATCGTGCATTAATAGACAAATCGTCCATTAATAGGGGTCATTAATGAACGATTTCATATACATTAAACTTAGTCGTTAATACGAGGTCGACGGAAAATAGTATTCATTTACAATCATATATGTAATGTTGTCATTACTAACGTCATTGAAGGTTGGAAAGTGTCACATTACACACCACTACTTTCCGCCCTCACTTCCCGCCTTCACTATACTTCCCGACCTCACTTCTTGCCCCCACTTTATGTAATTATTTAGGTATGTTCAGAACGAAACAGAGATTGATCAATTTTGATGGAAATATAATGATTGTTAATAAAGAAGTATACAAACCTCGGTAGGAAGTTTCATTCCTGTCGTGAGATCATAGTTTACCGAGACGCAGCTCGGTGTGCAATATACTATTATTGTTTTCAATCATACCATATCAAAAACACAATATTTTTCTCTGCAGGTACCAGGTGGTGTGGAACTGGAGACATAGCTAGAAACTATTTCGACCTTGGAGCAGAACCAAAAGTGGACTCCTGTTGCAGATTGCACGACCTATGTCCGGTCAAGATACGAGCCTATTCCGAAAAGTACAATCTGACCAACAACTCTTTGTACACGAAATCGCACTGCAAGTGCGATGATGACCTGTTCCACTGTTTGAAGGCCCAGAACCAGTCCCATGTAGCTAATATTATGGGAAATATTTATTTCAATATAGTTCAAGTGCCTTGCATAGAAGAATCAAAATCGGGGTGGAAGTTTAGGACTGCTAGAAATAGTTTCTGATGGGATTTTAAAATTAACCTCTTTTATGCGCATGAGCTGTGAATTTTATGCATAGAAAGTGTACCTTTATTTATTGTGGAAAAGAAATTATTTGCACTTCGTGTATTAGTATGTATTCGAATCACCTTTTCCATATACAGTATGATGCAAATGTATGGAATAAATTCATTATTTCAGAAATGGGCGACATTTGAAGAAATTCCAAAAACACGTGGGTTTTGATTTTTGATGCCTCATCTCATGACATTCATATGAGAGATGTTACGTCACTGGTGTAGAAGTTATGACGTAATGGACGATTTTTTCAAATACAAGCAGGGGTCATGTGACACCTCGTTTGGAAGGTCTACTGATCGTCTATCCAACAGTCAAAATTTTGCATAAGAATATTGCAATTAAAATGGATTATCATTTGGTTAACTGAATCTTGCAGAGGTCTGCTACTGAGAATTGAACATCGAAGGGTCGTCTAGTTGAAAAAATACACAATAAAAAAAGTTCCGAACTCTTGTTTTTGGATTTTTTTCGGAAGTCGTCTTGTTTTGAAATGAATTTATCCCATACATTTGCATCATACTGTATATTTCTAATCAGGAGAGCAGTTGTGTCTGCTGAACCATTGTCGATCTAAATGGAAACCTAGTTAGGTAGTTAGTAGGCGAGAGCATAATATTGTCTGTTCTTTGAAAAAATAAATGAAGGCGTTCAGTAGTACAGAGACATCAATGTGAACCAAGTAAACTAAGTTATTCATTTGTCAGACCTAACCGTAACATTTTTCATGGTCCTGTCAAGTTTGTAAATAAAAATCTGTCATGTGGAATCCCGAAAATGAAACATTATCACGAAGGATATTATCAAGTATGAAAACCATCTACCTATACTTGAATGGAAGCAGGAAGATGTTTAGGCAATGCTGTATTAGTATGATTCATGATGCAACTTGAATTTAAGTTGGAACTGTGGAAACTTCGGAAACTCAATAGTGCTATTACACTTTTTCGACATGCAAGCCAAGCAGAAAGGTAGGGGCTGCTTTTTTCCTTCTATATTTTTGATAAGTCACTCTATAATTCGTGAAATTCCATTATTTGCAGTGAAAACATGTCTTTAGTGATGTAAACCATGTACACATCGGAATCACTATATACTTGAAAATTTCAGGTACCTACCTACTGCGAAGAGTACTTACATTAATAGCTTTTCAGTTGAAAAACGGAAAACTATGAGTGATGTGGAAGTATCACATTAGAAATCATTATGTGAGTAATGTTCAGAAGGAATGTACCAGAAGGATGATGATGTTCCAGAACAGAATGGAAAATTTACCATCTGAAATAAATATATAGAAGCACTAAGGTTAGACTCAATCTGGTTATTTCATCAATGTCTCATGGATATTCTGCTCCAAACACAAAATATCATTATATTTTTTATAGATAGGTAGGATGAAAGTCGAGCTGCAAAAATATCCAGTTCACAAAATTTTATGAAAAAACACACAAGAAAATGGGGCAGTGAATAAAATCAGAAACTTTTCATCCTGTAGTTCGATGAGCTGAATCCAGATAAGCAGTAAGAACAACGATTTGTTTGCTGGAAATAGCCAGGCATTTCATTCTAGGCTACAAATTATATACACCCCAATGTATATTCAATTTATCCATTTTTCAAGCAATCAATTAGATGATGAGGAACATGTGATATTCCACTCCAGCACACTCAGGACCATTTTCGTAGTGAGCCACTCAGAATTTCACTAGAGTAAAGTGATTTCAAGATTGTATAGGAATCATCCTCAGATATATGGTATTCTATTGTTCAGGGTTCTTTGTCAAGATGCTGGGATATTTAGAATTTTTTATTGGAATATAACTTGTATGTATTGTATGAATGGGAATACAATTTAATTTTTTTAATAAATTGTACATAATTATGAAGAATTATTTCAATTTTTATTCTACTATATAGTTTGTTCTCTCCTGATACCCTGTTTATTGTTGTACAGATGTATTGGCAGATAAGTTTGAAAACACTATATATATTGTACAAATATTGTATATAGGTGAAGTATTTTTGAAGTAAAACAATGATTATTTTTTATTAAATCATCTTATTGAAGCTACGAACTTCACTAAATATGAGAAGATGTGTCTATTATTGGCACAAATTAAACCACAGGAATATTCAATACCAATATGTATCTTTTTAATTTATATTTAAGTCAACATTTTGAATGAACTTCATTATTATTTATTATCATTCTATAATATCTGTTCAAATGCCCGTTTCCTCCTCAGATGCTTCTTCATCGTCAGGTCCTGATCCTTAAGGCAGGAATTCCTCTTCAGCATCATATTCCAAACAACATTGCCGAGTCTGAAAATATAAAAATATTGTCCCTAGTTTCAATGTCCTGTACCATTCTGAAATGAATTTAATGACTTTTGACTATGGAACAACTTTTAGAGGAACCAAAGTCAAGTTCTTGGTGAATTTCATACCGAAACTAATAATTAGTTAGTTAGTATAGGTACAAATTTGTTAAATACCATTTTATTTATATATTTCTACCTTGAACAAACTTGGGACCGTACTCTCTTTCCAAAACCGTTTCCTATTCTTCATTGGCAAGAAACAGTTCCCTTAAAATGTTGGAAACATATAGTATCATGTTCGCTTACTTTAAAAACTCACATTCCTGAAATATAAATATCATTAAATTCCAAATATTATGTGATTCAAGAAAAATAGTTCACCTTGATATCCAATGAATATGGCGTGAACCCATTGACGCCTCAGGATTTGAGGCTCAAATTCACAACAGTGGGGATTGGGGAAACCATGTCTTGATAATTCAATTACACCTTCACCTCCTGGAGTGCGCAGTTTTCAGATGACATTGCAAAATAACACAATCGCACTCACAAACCAATCAACAAACTCTGATAGAAAACCAATACTAGAAGAAATGATTAGGTATAGGTATAATTGTTATTTCCAAGAAAGGAAATCAAAGTTCAACACATCCACAAAGACGAAGTTATAAGTTAATGACAACTGTCAGAAAATGATTTTATGATTACATGAATCTTCTCCATCGTCTTCCTATCAAATATCACGTCAATGATGGAAAGCACGTCTGTGGTTGAGTACACATTGGAGAAAAATAGAAGAAGAGAATATCAACCTAATATGGTCTATTTTGACAGAAACAAATGAGCTTTCTCCATTTTCAGGATGCCAGCGCCACTTGACAGGCAGACAGATTTTGATTCAAAGAACAGACAATATTGTACCTCCTCGCGTACTAGGTCGCCTACTAGGTTTTCATTTAGATCGACAATGGCTGAACAGAAGTTCTCCAGGGTGGATGAAATGTTATCTTATATGTGTTTGTTTTCTGTGACAAAAAGTTGCTTTTGAAAGTGGTATTGGCCGAATTTTATCTGTGAATTCATATAAAGATACCTAACCCAAAAACACTTGAAACCATGACACACACGACTAGAATTATACAAGCTTCCACCATCAAGTTTTTTATTATAAATACTGTCTTATTATATGAAATGAGGGGGATAGGACACGGCGGCAATAGGTGTAGAAAATGTTCGGATATAAATGGAAATACTTTTTTTATCGGTTAGTGCGCACGAAAGGGAATTCCTATGATGTTCGGAGAACATCGTGCGTACCAAGGGAGCATAGGAAAAGGAGGTGTTTTCGGAATTTTGGGGATAATAAGTTCTTGGAAATACCTCCCCCGGCAATTGATTCCAGAGCTTTGCCGTTCTATGGAGAAACGAGCTCTGATAAAGTGCTGTTAGACATATTCCGAGGTTGACATCAAAAGGATGTGCTGACTGCGCATCGTGTTCGTCTCTCTGGTATTGCTAATCGTGGAATGATAAAAGAGATTCCTGGAGAACACTTTCCGTGGAAGTATTTATAGAGAAGTGAAAGGTCGCCGACCTTTCTATGGTGTTCCAGTGATGTCAAAGTGTTAGTGAGTGTGGCATCACCCACCAGGCGAATGGCTCTTCTGGATGGAATCTAAGAGCATCAGAGTATGTATGGGTGCTGAACTTCATATGTGGAGCATTATTGGCATTATCGGCATTATTCGAAAATGATCGTCACTAAATGGCAATAGTCGGCCTCCAATTTCTTCACATTTTCTGCATCTCTTCAGGAGATCTCTCATGGTTTTCAAAATAATTTCCCTTTTATTTCTGATCATATCTGAATCTGTAACTATCCTCTCCCTCGATCAGTTCCTCGCTGGTGATGACTTCAGTCTGATATACCAATCGTTTCATATGTCTCCATAGATAATAGTCTCATACTGTTAGGAGACCTAGAAGGCCAAGAATGAGGGCCGCCACGACCTATCCAGCGATTAGTGAATTGGGTGTCTAGGAATTCTCTAACTTATATTGAGTATTGTGGAGGTGCCCCATCCTGTTGAAATGAAATACCTTTTTCAATTCATTTGCTTACATTCATCACAGCCTTCTTTTTTAGTGCTTTCTGAATCGTGAAAACACCAAACCCACAATTTGATTCGCTGATTGAGAGAGTTCACATGCAATAAAATCATAATGAATAGTTATTCAAAAGTTTCTCTATGTAGTATGAGTAAGCACTGCATATATCTGATTCGGATACAAATCTTTCACCTAAACGATAATCCCTCATATTGAGTACAGTATTTTCACATTTCCACATGTATAAGCAGATTTAAATTGGAAATTATTCATGTTCATATTTCAAAGGTCTCTTCCAGAAAATCAAGTGCGGTCCTGGAATTTTTTATCGAATAAAGCCTTTCCCCAACTCTTTATGCAAGAAATGAATATAAATGAATTTATCGAACGATTTGACTACAATATGCCCGTGCGGAATCATGGAAAAGTTCATCGGTATTTTGTTCGGTATTTTTCTAAATATTTGGTCGAAATGTGCCGTACAAAATGAAAAGCTATACCTTGTAGTGTTTTTCTTGATCTTTCTGATTCCGATGAGAGTTTCTCAAAAATACGATCCAGAAAGTCGAAATTATGACATTTATAAAGAAAATGAATTCCCCAAGTCCGGCTCTCAATTTTGTTTCCATAGTAGTTCATCTTATGGAGTGTCTGTAGTGGTAATGTTGCTGATAAATTTCAGGCGATAACATGGAGACGTTGCTGAAAATCGTTCATCGAAATTTCGCCCCGAATACAAATAATGTCCTGTATTTCTGTTACGAATAGGCAAAAAAGATTTTTTCACATATACAGTGTCATTCATAAAGTCGGCATCATATGGGAAAAACTTTTATTAATGTCTTACTTTGGAATTCGAGTTGGACGTTGAGTATTGCTTCAAAAAAGGTCATTAATGGCCTACTCAATCGGGGTCACGTGACTTTCGCAACATGTCAAAGGTGACATTTTTTCAAATTGATCGCTGAAAATAGGCTTATATTTTGTTCGAATATCGAAAAAGTTTACTTGGAGAAGTTGTTCCTATTTCAATTTCACACATGCTTCCCGAATTTGATCCTTTTATTGCAACATTCAGATTTTAATTTTTTTTTTTATTTTTCAAAATTTCTGTAATATTTGAAGAATTGTTAATTTCACGAAACTACTTCATACCAGTAGCTTTTTCATGCTTCTCACTTTCAATTACTCATTATCACTGATTATGTTCAGAAATATGATTTTATTCAGAAAATGATAATACCCGCTTCCAAATTCTGTTATGTTTGATGCAAAGTTGATATATCTTCAAGCATTTAGAAACGAAATTCATTCAAACTGATCTTTTCAGTACTGAAGAAATGAATTGAAATGAATTTCATTTCTGAATGCTTGACTCAAACATAACAGCATTTTGATGTTATGTTTGCATCAAACATAATAGAATTTTGAAGCGGAGATTATCATTTTCTGAAAAAAATCATATTTTTGTCGATAATTAGTGATAATTAGTGATTGAGAGTTAGTAGCATGATGGAGCTACTGGTATGAAGTAGTTTTATCGAATTCACAATTCTTTTAATATTACAAAAATATCGAATTTTTTTAAAAAATCTCGAAATCTAAAAAATTTGATAAAGAGATAAAATCCGAGTTACATATGTGAAACTGAAATAGAAACAACTTTTTCGAGTAAACTTTTTCGAAATTCGAACAAATAAACCTACTTTCAGCGATTAATTTGAAAAAATGTCACTTTCGACATGTAGCGAAAGTCAAGTGACCCCAATTGAGTAGGCCATTTTTCATCTTCTTTGAAGCAAAACTTGACGTCCAACTCGAATTTCAAAATGGGTCATTAATAAAAGTGTTTCCCATATGATGCTGACTTTATGAATGACACTGTATATCAACTCACTTTGACTTCCTCTATCCGCCGTTAGGCTGGTTAGTCATGACTCACCTTGTATATCGAGTACATACCTGCTGAAAAATAAATCAAACAGATTCAGGAGATGAAAGAATACCTACCGATTTATTATATATTATAAAGATTAGATATATTTCATCAATGAGGTTTGGATTTGATCGTCATCTTCCTTTTCCTCGGGGATATCATAATGGTTCTTGTGGAAACTCGGAGATGATTTGAATTGCCGATCTATTTCCAGACTTGTATCCATTGAAAGTAGGTTTCCATTCAGTTGTTCATTTCGATCTTTGATGGGGGTTGTAGGGACAGAATATTGAGGGGTAGAACTACTGTTTTTCCTCTTGGGCACTGGGTCAAGTAATTGAACTTGATACGGTTCGAGGTCTAGAAAAAAATATTGGATAAGATAGGTCGCGGTAGGTACTTAATGTGCCTATGGAGTAGACGTCACAAATTCGAATGCATATGGCGATAAATTAGATTTTTCTGGCGAGTCTACAGACAGAACGTGACCTAAGCTCAGTATCGGCCTCTACAGTCATAATCCAGTGAATAGAGGAGGTTCACCTTACAAACGGTCCGGTAGTTCTGAATTTTCGATATGTTATCTAGGATGGTTATGGAGTGTTTAAAATGCAAAATGCACAATTCCTCCTCCTCCGCGCCCACTGCCATATTGAAAAAACCGAAAAAAATCAGAACATTCTCCAGATTTTCGCTCATATTATCGTTAAGGTGCATTTTAGCTACAAAAGAGTCCCATTAAGTATTGTAGATGATTGAATTCTCCATAATTCAGGTCCCGAATTTTGATCTTAGGACTGATAGTTACGGAGATATGCACTTTTTTAAAAAAGGTAAAAAGTCGCATTTTCCGAAAATTTGTCAAACTTCTCACTTTAGTTCAGAACGCTGTAGTTCACTTATGGCCTATTCTAGGCAAACAAGTTCAGGAAGAAGATTTGTAGGGAATTCGATTACCTAAAGGAATGCATGTACAATTTTTTTCACCAACCCTACGGAATGGGGGGTGAAAATGAAAGTTAACGGCATACTGCTTTTTTGGCTATTTCGACTCCACATTGTATCTAAGAATATTAAATAACTATTTTCCAGTTTTAGCTTGAATTTGAAGATTATACTAATCTCACTTCGACTTTTTACATGACACAGCGTGCTGCTCAAGATGCAGTTACTATTTCAATTGATTATCTACCTGATGAGAGGGGATGTTCAATTTCAAAATACATTTTTCGAAGATTTATTTATTCAAACAATGTAAGAACAAAGGACAGTTATTTAATCGGTAGTAATCAAGTTAAATCGGTTATAATTGAAATGAGAACTGTGAAGGAAACATCCACATGCGCTTTGCTCGTTTCGTAGGGGGTGAGCTATTCAAGTCTGTGTCTTCATTTTCATCAAATTGTGAAGTAGTTACTAGATCGGCATCGTCTTCATCCCTGTTATTGCATTCTTGGCCAGCACAGAATTTGTAAACAGCGGAACAATGTAGGCCCGCCTTTCTACAGCCACACGCTCCCATACAGCCAGTTGTGCATCTGCATGAGGTCTTGAGCAGGTTTGGGGGAGCAGCGTCTCTACTCATCCGGATGGGCTCCAGTCTTCCAGCTTTTCTACACCAACCCCACTCGATAGGGTCTTTGACAATCCCCATCCACTCCATGACTTGGTGGTATGTCCTCAGGAAGTGGAAATGTGCGGAGTCAGTGGTCGGAGGTAGTTTAGCCATATTGAGTTTGGTTATACTTGTTTTCAATCTGCTATAGCGAAGGGAGCTCTGAAATACAGTTCCCTAACTATAGAACAATCAGATGTGATTCGACGTCAAGGCATACAGGTGGTGTCCTCATATTTGTAAAATCAAATTTTCAATTTTCTATTTACAAAAAATATGTTTTGGAGAAAAATTTCTGGTGTTTATTAATAAAAATTAATTTTAATCAATTTAATTTATTAGTTGGTGCGCTGTATCACTCGCCTAATGCAAGCCACGCGATATTTCTTGATAACCTCGAAAACATTTGTGAAGATCTTGTACAATCTAATTTGAAATTTATAATAGCTGGTGATTTCAATATTGATTATGAAAAAAACGAATTTTATTCAAACCATCTCAAGAACTTATTAAATGTGTATGGAATTAACCAATGTGTACAGGAATCTACAAGAATTACTAATACTAGCGCTACTTTGGTTGATTTTGTTCTCAGTAATTTTGATATAAAAACGTTAGTTCATCATGTACCTAAGATAACAGATCATTCCTTAGTTTCTATCAACACACTAAATAAAACATCTGTAAGTTCAACAGAAAATATTAAAAATTACCGGAATTTGAATAAGTCAAATCTAGACAAAATATGTGTGGAATTAATTGGTAAAGATTATCTATTGGACTGTGTGGATGTTGGAAGATTCTATGACGATTTCAGGACTAAAACGGAACAAGTTGTTAATTCCATTGCTCCAATTGAGACATACTATTGCAAGCACAATAGTCTACCTTGGTATGATTATGAAGTTAAAAACTTAACAAAATCAAGAGATACAGCTTATCAAGTATTTATAAACAATAGAAATGAAAACAATTGGCTCAATTATAAAAGGCTAAGGAATGATGTAGTTAATTTACTCAAATTGAAGAAAAAAGAATATTACTACAATAAAATCGATTTAAGTTCTAGGAATCCCCAACTCATGTGGAAAACGATCAAAGCACTAACTGATACTAAAATGAAAGATTGCAGTTGGAATAATATTAAATTTGAATTAGATAATCAAAAACTAATAAGTAACAACAAAAATGACATTGCTGAAAATTTCAATAAATATTTTGTATCCAGTATAGAAAAGATTGTTAATTCGATTGATATGACTGCAGCTTGGCAAAGTCAACACACTGTTGAGTCGGACTTTTCTAATTTTAAGCAACTGCACTTGAAAGATGTAGCGCAAATTATAAATAAATTAGAAAACAAGTCAGGTGCTGAAATTGTAGATGTGAAATTTCTAAAAAGTACTTTTGGAGTAATAGGGCATGTTCTGTTGCATTTCATCAATATTTCCCTTGAATATGGTCAGTTTCCTAATCAGCTGAAAACTAGTATAGTCGTACCGGTACGTAAGATCAAGAACACTCAAAAAGCTAGTGAATTTCGTCCAGTCAACACATTACCTGGTATGGAGAAATTATTAGAAATGGCTGTATATAATCAACTCTTGAACTATGTTGAAACCAATAAGCTGATAATAGATAATCAATCTGGATTTCGACAAAACCACTCGTGTGAAACGGCTATACAATTAACTGTCACTAAATGGATACAATCTATTGACAAGGGAGAATATGTTGTTACAGTATTCCTAGATTTAAGGAGAGCATTCGAAACTATTGATCGTGACATTTTGATTAGAAAGTTAGAAGCCATTGGTATTAAAGGAACAGTATTGCGTTGGTTTAGAGATTATTTAACTGGAAGGAAACAAATAACGAGAATCGATAATGCCTTCTCTAATCCTATAGACACAAAATTTGGGGTACCTCAGGGTAGTGTATTGGGGCCCTTACTCTTTTTAATATATATCAACGACATTGGCGGAGCACTCGATTGTGATCTGATCAACTTATTCGCTGATGATACCTTGTTATCAATAGCACATAAAAATTTGAATGTTGCTATAAGTAAAATGAACTCATGCTTGGAACATTTACATGAGTACTTCAATATGAATAAATTGAAATTGAATATCTCGAAGACTAAAGCTATGGTTCTGACAACAGGCTATAGATATAGACAATTAAATCTCAATTCTGTTTCACTGAACATTAACAACGAAAAATTAGATTTCATAACAGAGTTTAAATACCTTGGTTTCATGTTAGATAACAACCTTACCTTTGGTGCACATTTCAATTATATGTCGAAAAAAATAGCAAAAAAACTTTACTTCTTCACTCGAATATCTACTCATCTGTCTACCGCTGCTAAGATCACCATTTATAATACCATAATACAACCACATTTTGATTATTGTAGCACTCTACTTTATGGTTGTGACCAGAATAAAATTATGGCATTACAAAAACTGCAGAACCGAGGCATGAGGGTGATTCTTAGATGTAATCGTTCTAGTAGTATCTCTTCCATGCTTGATACACTGAGTTGGTTATCGATAAAAGATAGACTTTACCGAACATCAATGATATTTATTTTTAAGATTATTAATAATATTCTACCAACCTACTTTAAGGAATTTATAATTTATCGGAATAGTACACATGAATATAAAACAAGACAAAATGATAATTTCCACTTGCCAAGATGTAACTTATCGAACTCAATGAAAATATTATTGTATAAAGGTTTGAATCAATATAATAAGTTACCACAAGAAATGAAAAGTGTCACAAATCTCCGTCAGTTTAAATCAAAACTAACTGCCTTCATCAAATCAAATGTCATAAGATAGAATAGATAATTAATCATGTAGATTGATATTATTATTGTATTATTACCTGAATCATTGTCTCTGCAATTTTAATATTGTGAATATTAGGATGTATACCTATATTGAAATAAATTCATTCATTCATTCTTTACTGCCACCATACAGGGGTACCAAAATTCTCTCCCCTGCTGCTGAAATTTCTTGGGGACTGGCAGCAGGGTCCTCGAACCTCTCCGCTTGCTCCAGCAATGATGAGTCTTTCATAAAAGTTTGACAGAATTTATTGTTTCCGAACCCAAAAATGTTAGATGTGGTGTCGCAGCCCGATATTGCGTGCAGGAGCGAGATACAGCTTTTGGAGTTGTACTTGTAGGAGGAGGCGGAGTAGATTGCGTCTGGATGTTTCCCTCTCGCTGTTTTTTTGAGGTAGACATTGTTCACCGCAGGTGTTGTACCGGTCAGTAGGACGAGTAGGGCAATGTCGTGTCCGACAATGATGACGGCGTCGTACGTGGGGTACAGACATTTAGCTGTGGCAACTATCAACCTGTCAGCATCTTCGGAAGCTTGGTCTGTGGCTATATTTGACGGTTGCATGCTTTTTTTTTCATTTAATGAAAAAATATATATCTCCGTAACTATGAGTCCTAGAAACTAAATTCGAGACGAGAATTATAGGAAATTTAATCCTCTACAACATTGAATGACACTCATTTCACTCATTTATAGCTAAAATGCACCAGAACGAAGATATAAAAGGAAATCTGGAGGAAGTGCCGATTTCTTCGGGTTTTTTCAATATGGCGGAGGGCACGGAATTGTGCATTTTGCATTTTGAACATTCAATAACCATCCTAGATAACATATCAAGAATTCAAAATTACCGGACCCCCTCTATGTGTCTCTATTCA